TCGTATGAGTAGTGCTTTTTAATAAAGAAAGAATTACTCAAAACTAAGCTGTGATTGCTGACATCTTACGCCACAAAGTAGTGTGTGTTTACGCTTTATTATATTAGTATAGATAGTATAGATATGTGGACATCTATTTCCTGAAGTCAAATTAGGATATGGTCAAAAGATTGCGCTTACTTGTTTATTAACAGCTGAATTGTTTTAGTCTTCTCTTGAAGCCGCCCATTTTATAATTGGCTTGAAACACTGATGCCTAGCAACTTGTTTCAATTTGCCTTACCCGCTTTTAAGATTAACAATCGTATGTTTTTTATAAGTGTTTCATGTGTGCCATAGCAGAATTTATCTATCAGTAAATCATATTGTATTCTCTTCAATTTATTATAAAAACTCGTTCGTTAACCTCAGCCGGATGTAGGCGTACGGCCAAAGTCAAGATATTGTATAGTTCGCCAGATTAATAGTATAATCATATTACAGATATATAAAAGCTTAATCACTTATCTTTGCGTAGGTATTATTGAACTTGATGGAATCATACGTCACTGGGCTGTAAAAGCGTCATACTTTACACCACCAAACTGATTAGATATCCTATGACGTGGTAGGAGCATGGAAAGCAAATTACATCGCTCCAGTGAGTCCCGGTCACGTTCCCGAAGCATTCGAATAAACTCCACTGTTGTATGTTCCAATAGATACCCTCTTCAAATATATCCTAAGCAAATAAGACGGAAATCTTTAATATTAAATGGATATTAATATAAATTGCTTTATTGCTATTTTGATGGTATTGTACAGAATATAAAATACCATCGAAGTACCTGGAATATCTGAGATCTTAGGAATACCAGATTTAAAAAAAAAAATAGTTTATTGTATAAACTGCGTTAGATATTTACGAGCTTGTTCATTGTGCATTATATTTTATTTAAAAAGTAAAGATTGTCATTCGTAAAGGTCAGGACATATTGTAATCGTTTGTAAAGAGCATATCAACTTTTATATTCACGCATAAATCGCAGTGAGTCAGAAAACAATTTGTATTGTTGTTACAAATGTTAAGTGTTAGTAAATCGATAACTGATTTGCATTGGATCGATTACTTTATATGGGTCAATAAACTGTAGCATGTAAGGCCTTTAACCGAAACAGCCTTTTCTGGATTTCTTTTATTTTTATTTTTTTTACAAACTTAACGCTTTTCAGTTAAAGACTTAAAAACCGTGGTGTCATTCCATTTGTATTCTCGGAGTATAAAAAAAATAGGTCACTAGTCAATAGATCTGATACTCTATGTCAAATTATTCCAGTGTAAATAAATAGAATATCGAATTTAAGTATTCCAAACTTAAATTCGATGGGATGCTAATAAAAATGAGTAACAGAGGGTTGAAGACAATGATATCCGGGGATAGTAAAGCCATTAGAAAGTAGATGGCAAAGTAATTGCGTGTGGGAATAGGCTCCTTAATAATAGATCTTTCGAGCTATATTGATAAATTGCTTCGTGATAGCGAAGACCCTGCAAATCACAATAAAAGCAAAGCCTAAGCTTTGTTTACAAATGAAAGTATTATAGGAAATTAGGCAGATAGAAAATATTGGTTTGCTAATAATAACAACAGTTTAATGCAAAACATAATTGAATCCTCTCATGATAAAAGAAACATTTAATCCTGTCTTTTAGAGTTGACTTTGGTGACTTCTTTGACCTTGAGGCCATGTACCTGTTTTTAAAATTACGAGTCTCGACCCCAGTCCACGTACCCTAATTAACTGAGAGAAAAAATAATAATATAAATATCTGATAAAACTTTGCGTTCTTTAAATTCGTAGAAAGGTTCAGAAAATCAACGTATTGTTTAATGAATTAATTAGTAGAGGGAGCCCACGTACCGTGACGTGGGAAGACTGGGTGGGAAGTATGCATCACTGAATATACAAAGTAAAAGTGGGTGTATTATCTTTGTCTTAGAATAGCCACGATATTAACTTATAAGCTATCTTAGCGATGACACCCGAGTAAATATTATCATTTGAAAACTATGTAAAGTCAAGTCTGCGGTTATTTATGGGATCATCTCAATTTAATCTTACTAATATAATAAAGAGGAAAGATTTGTATTTTTGTATATAATAGAATAACTCAAAAACGACTGGGTGGATTTTAAAAGTTCTATCACCATTAGAAAGGTAATTTATGTGTAAGTAACATAGATTATATTTTTTAATTTCACGCGGACGAAGTTGCTAGCTACAGCTAGTTAAAAGTGTAATAAGTTCTTTATAGGCCTGAAAAAATGTCGGCGCCAGTTTTCACGACAGACTATGACGTGTGAGACGACTAAATTAGTACACAGAGTAAAAAAATTTGATATGATAATTTTATTATGCTAAATTTTAGGAGATTTTGGGACAGGAATATTTATTTTAATTTACACATTTAACGTGAGATACTCAACAATAGACCACATACACACTCTGGAACTTATTATTGAAAAGTACCAAGAAAACCGGAGACCGCTCTATATAGCCTTCATAGA